CCTTACCCCTTCCTCCTAGTGCATTACGTGGCAACGAGCCCTCAGCATCTGGCATAAATCCAGGTAATTTCCCTGGCTGATGCTTGTGCACACACATTTGAAAAAAAAAAGGTCAGTTGCAGAGGCTCTTTGCATAGGTAAAGTCAAGTAGGTGAGTAATTGCACACTGTGTTGGATCCTCAAATTGGCCATTTTCCCTTGCAGTGGAAATATGAGCATATACTAGCCTAAGGCACCTGTCTGTACATTGTAAATTAATAATATAGCACATCACTTGGGCTGTTGGGAGATTTTTTACAAGAAACTGACTTCAATTTGATCTTTGAAAATAACCAAGTCCTGCATCCTCTTCATAGACATTTGAAAAAGATCCTCCTGGCTCTTTTGGTAAGAGTGGGAGTCTGCCCTTGAGTCTTTAGTTGTAAATTCCCCTCCCACATTGCAAGTTTGCTCTGCATCGCCCTGGTTATCTGTCCTGCCGCTGTCTCCTTCCTGAAGTACAGAAGGATCGCTGTTCTGTTGGATTGGAGTCTGTAGTCTTCCACACTTGAGGAGTACTTAGGAGGGTGTTCAGATAAGCTTGTCTGGTCTGCTGAATGCAAACTGCTTTAGGAGAAAGGTATTAGAGAGAAGATGGTATTTTTGCTATTTGACATCACTTTTGGTGTTTTGTTCACAAAATAAAAGGGGCAGAGAGAAAATTTGGTTTTCTGATACTCATTGTCAACATTCAGACTCACGGCAAAATCATCAGTTATATGGAATAAATATGTGGATCTTGCTGGGATAAGCAACTGGCTTTTCACTGTCTTTCTGTATTGCCTCCATCACAACAACATTTGCTTTTACTGCTACTGGACTACAAGTGATGCTGCTTATTGTGAGCAAGTCACAGCTTATTGGTCATATTTTAAAGCGTATTCCACCTCATTTGAATCCACAGTTTGGGTTTTGTTTTAATATTCACCTCTCACTTGTTAATAATGTCTTTACTGTCAAACAGGTGAAGCTTGACTACTTGAGGTCTTAGATTAACAGCTTCTTTTGTACTGTCAGAATTTGGATAGAAGGTTGAAAGGGAGTCAACTATTTTGCTACAGTATTAGTCAGTTCTAGAATAGCCAACACTGGTAGAAGATTTTTTTTTTTTTTTTACCGTAATATGCTTTCTTCCTGACTTACAGCTCATTTGTAGCAAGCTGGTTTCTTACTCTGCCTCACCATCACTTTTTCTCTATGAGCTCAAAAGACCATAAATAAATGAGTCAAACCTTGTCCTGACTGAATTGCAGAGTAGCCCACTGAATTCAGCACTGTCTTTACAATTGCCGTTATTTAAATTGGAATAGCAAATATGTTTGTAGATACAAGGAAAGTGAGAAGATATACAAAAAGCCTGTTTTCTAAAACAAATTCTCAGAAGCAAGCACTGAGAAACCCAAATGCTTTTGAATCAAATACATTTGCTTTATTTGATTTGGTCTTGATATGCAATGCTTTAAAAAAGTAAAAATATGGTTGGCCTGATAGGTCAATGAAAGCACTAAGCCAAGGGATCCCTGGCCATCCTGTTACAGAGCAGTCTGAACAGGATATGAATTGTGGTCTTTTCTTTCACTAGACATATTCCAGCTCCTGCTAAATCAAAAACCTTTATTTGAAGTGCATGCAGGAAAAGATCAGTGAAATTCAGTCTCTGCCTCCCTCCAGTTGAACAGGACACTGAATCCAGTTTAAGAACTCCTTGTATTGGAGCAAAACCAGATACAAATTACTAGTCTGATACAGATTAATGGCTTGTTCAAAGATGTTCAAAAAATGTGGACAGATTAACTTTGTAGCAGCAGGTTTTCTGCTATACTGGTGATTGCTTACCACACCAGCTTACCTTCTTGTTAGTTTAAACATTTATCTGTTCTTCTACAGCTGGCATAAAGCAGCATTAACTCTGCATTGTGTCCTCATGTCCAATCCAAATGAAATCAATTCTGATATGGTGGGCAGATGCAGAAATAATAATTTCTGTGAGGTTTCCCGTTACAGCTGTGCCCATCAGCAGAGACCTGTCACACAAAGGGGAGGCCCTGCTCCGGGCTACACAGTGCCACCACCTTCCTTGCATTGAATTTACTGCAAGTGACTGTGCAGCCATGGAGTGAGTTGTTTCATTGCAGTAACCTCCTGAAAACCAACTTCACAAATTCAGAAAGCAGAGTTTTCAGTCAAATGAACTGGAACTGAGTCATGCTCTGGAAACACAATTGCTTTGTCTTAAATGATCAAGGAGTTAGAGGGGAAGGAAGTGTAGGTGCAGGCATGAGAGGGGTGGTGGGATTGCACCCTTGGATGGCAAAGAGCTACAGGATTAGCATAGCTGTAATAGACACACATTCCCACTTTGCTAATCCATTCTTAGTACAGACCCATCCATTCAGAGTTTCCTCAGAATCAGAGGGAAGGACAAAGACCTACTGTCCACCATAGCTGGATTCCTCCACCAATACTTCTGTGATCTTCCTTGAATTTTAAAGGGTTTTTTTTTAATACGTATTAATGAACAGAACTAAGTACTATTGGGCAATACTGTGTGTCATTGGGATAAAATTGGTATTTCTTCATTGAGACCGGGTTAGCATTTGGAGAGGGGACAGGGAAATGTACAACATCTCCTTCTCTTTTCCTCAGGAAACACTAGGAAATGATGGTTTAAAAAGTGAAATTGTGCTAGAATTTTGAATTTCCCTGGCAGAATCTGAGTTCTGTTTCTGTCTGTCTTGAGATTCAGACAAGAGTGGATAAGGACAACGGATAGTCAAAAGATGAAAGAGAAAAATACTTTGAATGTTACTTAAACAGGATTTTGAGGTTACTGCATTTCATTCTGTTCTTTGCAGAGGTGAGAAGAGTTTGTTGTGTAAAACTTACTGGAGATTTCCTTGATGAAGCAAAGCCATGTACTAGTTGCTGCTGAGTACGGATTATAGCATGCTCTTCAGTGTTTCTAGGCATTCCAGGAAGAAGAGGAGGGAATGGGGCAGAAGTGAAAGTTCTTACACACAAATCCTTCCCTACAAAATAAGTAGCAAGGGGCAAAAATGATGAAGTGAATCTTCTTGCACTGGCTAATTGACATTTTCTAGAGGCATACTGGAGCCAGGAGAAATGGGCAACACTGTAAGTGGAGAATTTCTTAGCGCTTTCTTTTTTGTAGGCCTCTACACACAGGCACCATGGAGTCAAGAAGGTGAACCTCCCACCCCAACACTCACAGCTGATGCTTTTTTGTAAGAAGGTGATAGTGTTGAGGTTAATGTGAGGATGAAACTTTCGTCTATCTCCTTTGCTTTATCCCTCCCTTTCATTTCAAGAGTTATTTATGAGCAACTAGGACCTGCTAAGTCAAACCTTAACCTTCAGCTTCTGCCTAACAGAGTCTTAATTTAAATAAACTGGTTTTGCTCTGGAAAAATGAGTTTTATTAGTGATATTCACACAATCCAGAGTCAAAATAATTAAGTTCATATTTTTTTCAGAGACAGAGCTAAATTTCCACTATTAAAAAAGGATTCTTTAACTTAAGTTCATACTAACAAATCGGATAATGGTCCAAGGCAGGAGACTTTCCCTATTTTGTAGTTAAACCTCATATGTGTTGTTCAATATTTTATAATGCTTGGTTTTGTCCAAGCACTCACAAACAGAAATATATTAGAAATGTCTTAATGCTGAGATTTTTGTTGGCAATGAGACCAGTAAGGGCATATGTGCTTTTCCTTCCTGCTGTGTTCTTCCTAAGCCCTCGTATGATAAAGTACCACTTTTTACATTATTTTTTCCCTTTTCTCATCACTGCCCTTGTAGTTCCCTCCCTTCTTTTAGGTGATCCCTGTTCTGATTAAAGCTTGACAAGAGAGACATTTTCTTTAAAAGCTTCCACTGTTGGCTACCATCATCTCAGTCGCAATACCAGAAACCTAGTACGTAGCAGGCTCTCAAGTTTTCAGCCGTTGGTAACGCAGCTCAAAACAGTATGTATCTGTGCTGGGGAGATCAATGCTGCTACTGTCGGTGGGAATTTTTCTCAGAATTTCCCTCATCTAAACAGGATCATTCTGTGCTGTCTCCAGATTCCTTTGTAGCCACAGAGTTAGAAGACAACGAGCCTTTCCCCTGCCTGTTTTGGTTACAAACAGCATATGTTGTCCTCCAGAGCAAACTGCTAACCCAAGTTTTTGAATGGAAAGGTGCGTTTATGTTTCACTGGAAAAGCTAGAAAGAATGTAAACTGTAAGTTCTGCTGTAGCAGACTGACCTAGCCTGATAGCAGTTGTCCTCCCCTTAGCAGTTGAACTGCGAGTGTTGGCAGGATAGGAAGTGTTTGCAGCACCATTGGCAACAGTTGGGACAAGATTTGATGAAAGCAAGTAAATCTGAAGTTGAGGACCCAGTGGGACTGGAGGGACAGTATATCCTTTGTGCCCTACAGAGTCTGGCTGGGGTTCCCTGGTGCTACCACCACAAAAATACCCATAATTGTAGATAGACATTGGACCCAAACCAGGAAGGGCTTTAAAGGCATCTAAGAGCCAGGAACGGAACCACCAACCTTGAAGCTACAGGGCCTTTTCCTGCCCTCAGGTCGGTGGAGGCCTCACTGTCACATTGCTGCGGGTTTATACAGGGTTGAGCCTGGGCATCCAAGCTCAGTACTGGACTACTCTTGATGACAGGAGTTCACCCAAGTAATTTCAATATTTACCAGGTGAGGATTAGAAATCTGGTTTGTGTTCCAGCTGCAGTTTTTAGTAGGCTATGACTATACAGAAATGGTAAATTGCTATTGAAAATAAACATGCTGGTTCAACAACCTTAATTTCTGAGAAGTTATGCACATATGTTTCTTCCATAATTCTGTGGAAATCTAATGCTTTTTTTGGCCAAGCTACTAATTTTTTATTTATTTTTTTTTCTTTTTAATGGTATAGTTTAATCAGCGTTTAAATATTTCATAACTCCAGCATTCAGTCGTCATTCTGTCCAGGAGCAGCACGACAAATATGCATATTAAGTATTTTGTAGTTTCTCCAAATTTGGATGGATTTGATGGTTGATGTCTAGATTTCTGCCATTAAAATGGCGTAGCCAGCGGCTAAGGCACAAAAAACCCCAAACACTTAAATCCTATCACTTGGAGTCTTCTTATACACAGATATCTAAAATGATGGTCAAATCAAGAAAATGCGTAAGATACCTTTCCAGAAGCACTGAGTCTTGAAAGGGTTGGGACTCGAAAATTTTTAATCTAGAATTCCCAGTGTTTCTTGGTGAATTGCTTCCAGCAATCTCTTCCTAATCAGAAATACTGAGCTCATCCAAATAAAAGGTCAAACAAGCCAATATTTTATTGCAAACTTGCACTCTAATTTCCCTAATTGTACGTGAGATGTTGGAGGTGGTATTTTACCTGTGGGAAGAGCAGTTACAGGTGGTGAAACTGAGGTAATTCACATGTTCAGTCACTGAGTGGGTAAATTACCTCAGTTTAGGCCTATTGCTACCCACTAATAATGCACACCTTGGTTCCCTTTTCACTTCATATCTTTGGCTGGTTATCTTTTGGTTTAGTTAACTTATTACTCTGATATTCATTACACAGACAGAAAAATGAAAATTACATTCTCTTTGTATGTCTGACTTTCCTTCATGTTTTTCCCAAAAGTAGCCTAATCAAACCTGTGCAGCAAATTAGTTGGCACCATCATTTTATGGAAGACTTAAAACATTTTGAGACCTTGGCCCTTCACTTCTGCCATTTCTTCAAGGCATGTTCTTTGCTTTTGGACCCAAATTAATTAGTTTCACTCCCCCAAAAACTCATGGAAATTTTGGTGGATTCTTACTGCAAGAGGTTTTTTATTCCAGATGCATGAAAACTTGAAATTTAGCTTACAGAAATGCCTTGCATAAGTTAAGAAGCAGAGCCCATATCATTTTTAGTGACACTTGCCTTTCCACACTACCAGCTTTGCTTATATAATTTATTTGGAGCTTTTAAGCCTGAAGCGCTAAAGATATGGGGACTTGGTGCATACTCATGACCTTACCTTAAAGTATGCTGTCTACAAAGGGCCAATTTTTCTGCTTGCTGTAAGAGCAGAATTTTGCATCGTTGCATTGCTATTACAGGTCACAGTAGGAATCAAACAGCTTTAGGGTTTAGAGGGGAAAAAATAGAATGGGGAGATGATGACTGATGCTGAGCATTGTTATGTTACATTATTTATCACTGAAGGAATCTATAGGAAGTTTTGTACTTGTGAAACACCTCAACTGAACAGATGGCAACTCTTAAGATGTTCTGTGGGTAGCTATGGATTGGAAGTTGTGGGGTCTTCAGAATGTCGTTTCTCAACCATAGAAATTGTGTCATGATTTGTTAAAATGACTTCCTTTTACAGCAGAAGACCTTGAGCTTGGGTCAGTGAGGGTGGCTGCAAAGCTGTGCTGGTAACTGGTTACTTGAAAGCAGCATTTGCGGTGAAGCTGTGGATGTCATGTATTTTGTAGCTGGCTGTGGTATATAGCTGCCCTCTTGTGGGGAAAAAAAAAAAAAGAGTACTCTTGTATGTATAGTTTCATAATTTGTGTAGTATTTGTGCATAATTCATGCAGTAATTTATCACATCAGGTCAAATTCATAACCAGAATTTGCAATGCTATAACTAGGAGCAGAATCTAATCCTAAACTCGTGATTTCAGTATTTTAGACAAGGTAATTTTTTAAAAAGCAGCCTATCCCTCACACTTTTACACAGGCACTATTCTTTTATGTAAACCCCGAAAGAGACAATTAAAGAAGCTGTAAGCTTATGTGCTACATAAAGCATTCAAGAATTGTGTTCTTCCCCTGATTTGCAATTCATTTGCAGCCAGAGTTGATTGCCCAGGAGAACCAAGACGAGAAGATCAGGTTTTTTGTTGTGACTTCCCATAGCTCTTACAGAGAAATGAATACAGGATGACTTAGCTACAGCCAGGATGCTGTTGTTTCTTAAATTTTCTTTATAAAACTAGTTAATTCCCTTCATATTACGGAAGTGACTCCTGAACGACCCTTTGTCTAGTATACTAGTCTCGTTGTGTCATTTCCTGTTATTCAATTTAGTCTCAGAGTGGCTGACAAACCAGGGTGCTTCTCCATGCAGATGCGAGGAGATTCCACTTCCTTTTCCTACAGTCTAGGGCTTCCTCTTCAGGAAAGAAAAATACAGGGTGCACATTTGTAAACTTGATTTGAGTCGGACTGAGCAAGTAGACATCTGCTATTTCCTCTATACAGTAAGCTAGAAAAAATGCTTTGTAGGGAGGCTGTGTGGCCCAGTGGTTAGTGCAGAAATGTGTCAGGCAGGATTTCTCAGTTCTATTACTGGAGCTCGTTGAAATTTAATGGTTTCAATATGTTTCTATTTCTTGTCCTTTTGTTAATTTCCTCCTTGACTGAAAGTTCCTGTTTTCTGATGTAACCTGGGGCAAGTTAAATAACTTCTGTGTTTTATGGTCCTGCTGTGAAAAAAACAGCATATTAAACAGGACAATACAGCTGTGAAATGGGTTAGGTAATAAGATTCCGTCTGCACTGCATACGAAGGCAGTAGGAGACAGTAGATATTATTTCAAAGGCCAATGGGAAATTCATCTGCAGAAAGTGAGATGTAGGTTTTCTGAAATACTCGGCTGCTCTACCAGTGTCATGTGGGAAAATCTCTGGGGAATCTACTGATTGAGTCTTTACAATAAAATGCCATTTATACATTCTAGCAAATACTGAAAATGAAATTCAGATAACAACATTTTTAGGGGATTATTAAGGGAGATGCCAAATTAAAAAATCAGATTTTCTCATCAGAAAACTTGTAGCACTGTAATTTCCCAGAGCATGTAGTGGCCCTGCCATACAAAAAGGAAGTCTTATTATATGCTTCTTGATACAATTCATAGCTGAGTCTCATTTTCTAAGCTAATATTGGAACTATTGCGTGGGATTTTTTTAACTAAACAAGTATCAGTTATGTAGTCAAAACAAAGGTTGTTCCTGAATACCTTCACTCGCAATAGAAGTGGGATTGGTTATTTAAGTAGGGGCTTCATTGTGTGAATATTTGTTTGCTGCAAACAAGAATTATCTTTGTGGATTACAGCCAATCTAGCTAGATTTAGATGATGCTGACCATGATACCACCTCTTATTCCAGTGCACACAGAGCTGGAAATCTGTTACAGATGGTAGGGATTCTTTTGTTTTATTTTCTAAAAAAATCCTTATCTCAAATTAATAATTTCAGAACAGTGATTTTTAGCCTTTTTTTTTTTATTTGCTAACTGCTACAAGATTTCTAAAGGAGTTGCAGACTAATACACAAACTTTTCTTAGTGATCTTAGTGTTCCTGCAGCTAGGTTTCAAAGCATGTTTGGAGCATTGGTTGAAAAACATTTTTTGTAGGGCAGTGCCACTACCTTTTTTATTGTATGAAACAAGGAGTTGGTTTCTGAGCACTGAAATGCTTTATACACAGATTGGGCTACTGCATTCCATTCCTATGTTTAAATGTCTTTCAGATAAAAGACCGTGCTGAGTGAAGATACATATTGAATTATTGCTAAATACACTGAATATCACAATCTTTGCTTAAGCATATGGGCAACAGGAATTTAGTTGCTTTGGGGATACTTGAACTTTCAAAAAGCTGTAGGCTTTTCCTTACTATCTGCAGCTACCATCACCTGATGCAGGTACCAGGCTCTCCTCTAATGCAGAACTAATTGTTTTCTAATTGTGTCTTTTGTCTGTTTCAATTTCTAGACATCATTAACCTCATCTCATTCCTGTGACACACTTGAGAATTGGTTTTATGATGAAACTTCACAAAGCTGCTGTTACCAGTGTCCCTCAGGTCAGTATGTTTATAATTCAGTCAAATTAACATGGAGCCTTTCTTGTAGAGATAGTGGGAACCATGTGTAGCTGCAGAATTGTATTTTGTCTCTGAAGAAAAGTGAAATTTCATGAATCACTATCTAGTGTGGATCCAGATGTGAACTTGTTCCTCACTGCCTTGCTCCTGTTCAGTCTGCATGCAAACAATCTGTAAATTGCAAACAAGACACCTTGCTAGAATTTTTAATGTGTTTTTTACCTGTTGACTTGATGCTCTGAAGTAGCTAGAAGTAGGCAGGTCTAAGACTTAATTTCAACTTGCCTCAGGGTGTGAAATAGCACAGTGAAATTAAGCTAAGTAAGATTCTGATCAGAGACAAAAAATATAAAATGAAGGTGTAGAAAATCTGTCATCATCCTCATCGTCAAAACAGTTTAGGAAGTGTCTCGCATAAGAAAGGGAACAGCCCCTTGTTGGGGACACAGCGTGCTTTGCCGGAAGCTAGTTGTGACTCAGAGGCCCATGAGGTCAGAAGCAGGAAACACCTTGGTGAGACGAGATCTGGAAATGTCTGAAACTCCCCCTGTTGGCCAAAAACCCCCTCAGTGAGTGGGGCATTTTATGGTACTTCACCATTGTCAATATCTTTGTGTAGAAATGTTTTCGTTTTCTTTTTTTTTTTTTTAAAGGAAATTTTTGACATTTATTTGTGCTCTAATAATAGAGGGGTTTAGCACTTGGTGCTAGCATTTGCATGCAGTTACATTGAGGTTCCAACTGGGACATCTTGTACTGCTGGCCACACCACTAGAATCGTTCAAAAGTTGTCTAAGTAAGCAAGACCAGGGGATGGAGAAACTGGTCCTGTAAAAGAAGAAAAGGGGCCAGGATCTGACCCTAAGCCAGTCCCAAGAAAAGCCCTTTTCTCCTTCAAAACTATACTTTGCAAAAGCTCCCATAATGACAGATGTCATAGCGAGGTCTTGTGAAAAGCAGAGATCTGATTTACATCTGGCTGTAATGAGCCACGAGTCTCAATCATTTCACCTCTGCTTATTTTTGAAACTAATTTTGTTGCCCCATCCTCATGTCAGTCTTGGACATCTCTTCACATCCTCCAGGGCATCTTTCACAACAGAAACTTATAAGAATCCTTTTTCATGTTAATCGTCCACTACTCCTTCAAGCAATAACCTGTTTATATCTGCTACTAACTCAACTCCTCACTGCAAAGAAAGAGAAGCTTTTCTAAAATTCCATTTCATCCAAGTAGAGCACCTTGAACTCTTGATGCAGCCTGGCTTTTCTTTCTTTGGTGTTCCAGCCCACAGATGTACAGCTTTCAATCTGAACAAACTGGCACACATGCAAGCCACCCGCTGTTTCAAAGTTAATTTCAAGTTCAATTTCACGATAAACTTCAAACCTCAAAAGATAATTCTAATCAATTTCTACAGTTGCCACATCTCTTCTCATGTACTTAATTCTTGTGCAGGTAAAATGAGACTTCATACCTGGGATACCAGAAGAATTTTCTTTCTGTCACCACAGAACAAAATATTTCCCTCCTTGATGGGGGAAGAACAGAGGCTTTCATGGGAAATAATGATATATGCTAGAAGAGCTTATGTTATGCAGAAGTTGGTATTCCACTTCACTTCTGTTTATTCTGTTTATGGTTTTTTACCTTTTTTGTTTGGTTAGTTTTTTGGAGGTTTTTTTTGATTTAGACTCTAAATCAGATACCCAGCCCCACAAGATAGTGCTGCAGTCCAACACTCAAGATAATTTCCCACCCACATTTAACAGCAAATCCTCAGGAGTGAATGAATGCACATACAAAAGAAAAACACTTATTTCATCGACTTACTTTCAGTACATTTTTCTGTGCAGGTGATTGCAGCCGGTATTCCTATTGTTCAGGCTTTTGTCTGGTTGTTGAGCTATGAACACAATCAGTGGAGAACAGCACCAAGAAGACACTGTTAGGCAAGCTTCAAAGCTACTGCACCTGGGGCACACATCCCCCCCGCCCCGCCATTTCCATGTGTACAGGAAATCTCAAATAACTGAAGTTAAAGTTTTTGGGTCGTTGAGGGAGGAAGGGGAAAGTGACACACACATGCAGGTACACGTGTGCAGCTTGAGATTGAGCAATCGGCCCCCACCTTGAAAAGAATAGTCTCAGACAAGTAGTTTTGAGGAGGCGGGAGTGACATGGTTCAGGCTTGTCTGGTGGTATTTAGTGGGCCAAATATAGCACAGCTGTTTTTACCTGCACTCCTACATCATGCTTGCCAAAATACATTGTAGGTGAGTTATTTCCCTGCCAGGTTCATCCTCCCTGTGGTTAACTCTTTGTGATTGGGTGATGCAGGCTGGATGCTGAAACTGGGATTTGTTTCCCCCCTTCTGTTTTCCACCTGCGAAACATGCAACTCTGCCTGTCTTTGTGTTGCTGCTCTAGCTTTTCCTTTTGCTTCTGCAACTGCTGCTGTTTCTTATCCTCTGGTAGTTATTTCCACCTCCTGACAAGGCCATAAGGTCACAGCTAACCACTGCACTTTCTAATTTCTTTGGCATTATGGCCAGTGGTAGAATACCTCATCTGTTGCTTTAGAAGCTGAAACATGTAGGAATGCTTCTGTCCTTGCCTTTCCCATACTTCTAGCTGGTTAGTGTTTTTAAAAGCTAGTTACTAGAAAATGATTACAAGACATAGAGTCATGAATAGCTTATGTTTGGCAGGTACAAAGAGAAGACTGTGGTAGTGTGTCAAACAGGTAAATGAGCATACAAGAACAATTCAGGAAGGTTGTCTCCTGTGATTCTGGATAGGTATCCTGCATATTTTGTTTTTCTTTCTCCAGGCTATGTTAAAAAGAAAGCGTGTCCTAGTGACCCAGATGAGGACTGCATGAGGTGTGGACCTGAACAATACGTGAACGAAGCATTTCAAAAACCACAATGCGATGCTTGTGTATCATGCGCAGAAGGTTTGCTTTCTGTCACACATACCTCACAGTTATATTCTCTCTGTATATTTTATTTACGTTTTATTTATATTTTATTAATTTAGAATTTCCAGCAGCAAAATTATCCATCCTTAGTTACTGATTTGGAGAGCAGAATGCTACCTTGTATATACTCAGTATCACTTCCTGTGTGACCTGGGACTACCTAAAAATTCTCTCATCCAATGCGATCCAAGTTGGATTTCTGCTTTCTGTCTTACATTACAAGCCATTGTCTACAGGTTTCTCCAATTATTCATGACTTAAGTTGCCATCACAAAGAGTGCCAGCAGCCTGTTCTGCTTCCTGAGCCTTTGAATGTTGCTCAGCTTTGGCCCCTGCTTTGCCTTCTCCTTGCAGGGTGATCCTTTGTTACTGCATCTGTTTCTTCCCCACAGAATCTGACCTTGTGGAGAAAGAGCCCTGCTCCTTCAATTCTAGTCGCGTGTGTGAGTGCCGCCCAGGCCTGTTCTGTCAAACCCCTGTTCTGAACACCTGCATACGATGCCAGCAGCACACTATTTGCAAGCCTGGTTTTGGAGTCAAAGTCAGAGGTAGGAATTCCTACCTGTCTAGCTTACCTTTCCTGTCTTGGCCATAGGCCTGGACACGATGCATTTTGGTTGGCCGGTCCTCAGTCATTATTTTTATTCAGGCACCTCAACAAATGATGTTACTTGTGAAGAGTGCCCTTCTGGGACCTTCTCTGATCAAAACTCCAGCACTGACATCTGCAAGCCCCACACAAAGTAAGGCCATAGTTCTTTAAAGTGAGTAACTAATTAATTAAAGTTAATAAAGGACAAAAAGGGATACCTGTCACTTCTGGTGCAAAGTATACAAATTTATCTTAGAGGCAATGGGATAGCTTTGGGCCTAAGTGCAGAGTTTAGAAGGCCTCTCTTTATACCTGTTGTGCAGCTCTCTACTGGTGGAAGGAAGGAAGGAATCCCTCTTGCCTCATTTTTAGTTTACTGAGTACACTGGAATTACACACGCACGTAAGTGTCAGGTTTGCATCCAGGTGAAGAATGACCACAGAGGTGAGAAGATGATTAATGACTTTTTCACTGAAAGCCATAAATGCAGGTGGTACAAAAATGACAAAAGGGATGTTTGTCATATAGGAAATACTCTTACCTTGTACCATGGCAGTTTCCTCTAGCACTGATACACTGTTCTCTTTCATTCCCTAGCTGTGCTGAGCTAAACAAAGTAGCACTAAGGAAAGGAAATGCCACACACGATCAGGTTTGTCTGGAACAATTGCCTACCTACCTCACCCCAAGCACTTTGTCCATGAGATTCAGCAATGAAACAAAGAATTCTGACCTAAGGAGATTTGAGGAGAACCTGGTGACCGTTGCTAGTGTCCTTTTACGTGCCACAACAACTGAGAACCCCAGTTCAACTCCTGAGGAGAAAGTTCCGGCTGGCACTTTTCCCACCTCAGCCAAGGGGGAGACAACAACAGGAGGTAACAAAGATAAAGCATTTACTCTGTCTAGCATGTTTTATTTGGATATATCTTTGGTAAATGCAATTTTTCTGTGGGAGCTTCCTGCAAATCCCGTATGACTTGTGAAATTACGTCCATGGATCTATGTCCAAACACATAGATCTACTAATAATTCCCCCTCTGCCTTTTTTTAGCTTTTCCTATATTCCCTTTCCCTTTCTGTGCTATAGGTCTAGTTCTTTGGGGAGTGGTTCTCTCTGTGGTAGTGCTACTTGTGGGCATGCTGTTATTTTGGAAATGGAAGGTTTGCAAGAAGCGGATCTTCATCCTCAAAGGAAAGCGTGAGTTTTTAAAGCTGTAATACATACCATGCTGTTTGATCTCCAAGTATATGTCAGCTGGGAACTCAAATATCCCAAAATTTTGTGGAAGTCACTGGGGAAGAGAATGTTTACTACTGCCTGGTGAAGGCGGGCCAGATAAGGGTTCTAGGCAAACTGTTCATGCAGCCTATTGGAGAACATGAGAGAAAGATTGAAGCAGCGGTGAATTTATGGAGGAAGATACTAAGGAAAGGGTAAGCAGTAGTTTCTTCTCTCAGCACAGACACTAAAATTAAATTATACCTGAAATGTTTTGTGAATATTTGTTGGTTCCTGTGGTAGGGTTGGACTTTGACCATGAGAGGAAGAGTGATTTTTACTGATACTGACTCTCTGTAGCTTTGCCCAGAGTTACATGTGGGGTGTGCCTGCGGAACCACATTCCCTCTTTTATAGAAAGCAGGATGTGCACGTTGTAGGTTGGTTGTAGACCTGTGGGTGTGGTAAAGCTGTTAGAGCCTGTACACTCCATGATGAGTTTTGCTAAATGAATGGTTTCTTTTATCAGCACATCTGCATTCCGTCACTTCACACAAATCCAGGCTCAAATCTCAAGGTGAGTGACTGATGGACCAGGAATTGTAGTCCATGTGTCTAAAGAATAAGTGGAATAAGTGGACAGTTTTAATATGGAACTTTATTTTATGGAATTTTAATTTAAAACGTGGAACCTGCTCATGTCGAATGTCTCTGCTGACATGCACAGGGCCAGTCCTGTTGTCTGCCCTGGGCTCTGAATGTGACAAGCCACTAGATGGCACATGTTTCCCACTGCACCTGAATGGTTGGTGTCAGTGCAGGGAGGCTTTACTGGAACTACGCCCAGTTAACTTCTGGGCACTCAAATGTGGGAGGCGTGTTCCAAAAAAAAGTGGGTGTTAGCCATAGCAACCTGTGCAGATCCCCTAGAGGACACATATTTTGCCCAATTAACTAATCCCCTCCCAGCACTTACATTTCCTGTTGTGTTAGATTCTCCTAATCACCATGCCATCAGAGCTTTCTCTACTCATTTATTCAGGGATATGATTTAACACCTCTTGTGCACAGCTTAATTTTCTGAAAATGAAATTTTTCCTTCCTCACTTCCCTTACACAATAAAAACTGTTACTGTCGAGCATTATAGAGCTGATGCATTGAAAATAAAGATGGCTGCATGTCAGTGAGAAATTAGGTAGCATGTCTGACCCCGTCTAGCTTCATGGTACAGCAGAAGGATGCTGTAGACTCCCTTCTTCCCACCTTTCTTCTTTCCTCAGTGTTCCCTTCCTGCATCCTTGCATAAGATCCCATCCCCTTAATAGTCATCTGACCACACGATGAACTGATCCAACTTGTTAATTCAGTAGAAAGTTATTAACATTTTTTTACTTTTTTTTTTTTTTAATAAGCCTGTCTTCTCCTTATCTAGAAAGTTTAATAACTTCGTCATTTCGTTAGATGAATACCAGCTGGGGTGTGGGGAGAGTGATAGGGATGGCCACAAAGGGCTTTGGGGAGAGCACGACCTCACAGTCTTGGCAGCAACATGTTGCTGATTCACCTCAGCCATGTCATGTAAGTGTGCCCTCAGTGATAAAGAAAACATAATGCCGGTGTGTTGGGCAGCCTAGTAGTTTAGGACATGACTAGGTGATCTTTCAGAGCAAATATTAACATTCATGTGATTGCTGTGATTTTTTTTCTGATATTTTTTCCTCTTTCCATTGCAGGTTCTGATCTAGTGAACAAATGCGCAGTAAGTGTGAGCAATATTCCAAACCAGATCACTTTCCATTCCAATATAAATAATTATATTTTTAAATGTCCTGTTAAAGCGTGCCAGCCTTTTTGTTTGGACTTTCCTCTACAACGTGTGATCCTCTAGGTGCAGTGAAGAGATGTACTAGGACTTGCAACTTCCATGTCTTGGGCTGTGTTTAATGTGATCTTAAATAATGTGATGCTGCCAATCTTGCTTGTGAAGGGAATATTTGGCTTGGGTTTATGCCGTTCATGGGACAAGATCCAAAATCACAGGATGAACATGCCTTTTCTACCTTCTGGAAGAACTTTGTCAGTCCCATTTCATCTTACTGCTCCAGTCACACAAGTGGGATTTGTACTCTTCTTCTGTCTCCCTCCATGTCACCTTCCCTCTCTGTAGGATTTGGCATGACTGTAATATGGGTACGCAGTGAGTGTTGTTTGTCTGGAAGACTTTACATCAGGACCAGCTTCTGTTTTAACAGTATAGTTTGCAGATGAACAAGACAAATATCAGTCAATATGGTAACAACAGAAAGCAGTTCCTCAGCTGCTGAAATCATCACAGGTCTGATTCCCCCACTTCCACTGAAATTATTGCAACTTTCATCCTCTGAGTCTTCTCAGTTTATTAGGCTTATTATCTTTAAATGGCCATATCTGCTAAAACACTCTTTAAACTGTTCCTTTTTTTAAAAAAAAAAAAAAATCAGTTTGCTTTTAAAAGTTGTACATCTGCACACATACAAGATACTAATTCTAATAAATTTGGTTGCAGTCAGCTATCATAATTTTAGTGTGTCATTGCTAATTCCTGAGTTGTGGGGAGCTTCCACTTTCATAGCAAGTCAGACATAAGCAACAGTTTTAAACTGCACATTTCAAAATCTTACTATGATGGTTTTTTTTTCTTTTCCAACCTTATGGAAACAGAAACAGAGCCTAGGAATCATCAGAAATTTGTGATGCAGAACCTTTAGCCTCTCTCAGATTCTGGCTCCTTGTTTAAAAGACTGTTTGTATTTAGTTCTTTGCATAATAACTAGCCTGAGCTTGTTTCTCCTACCTGAGGTTCTGCTGAGGCAATTCCATTTTGAAGTTCAACCTCTGGCTTGTTTTGTTCTTCCATAGGAGCCTGGTAGGTCTTTGCAAAATGTAAGAGGAAGTTAAACCATATATTTTCAGTTTTGACTGTTTGACTCTCTCACCATATGACTACATATCTGTACAGGTTTGTCCTCTGATACTTATCTCACAACTAAATATGAAAAATATCTTGTTAAAGATCTTTCTGAGCAAATCCCTTAAAATTCTTAACTCCAGCATCTGTCTTTCTTACTGATGTTATACTGAGCTTCAGCCCCCCCCCAAATGCAACTGCTGCTGTTATACAGGATAGCAGACTCTGCAACAGAGCAAACAGTGTAAGACTTGTGGCAAAAAGTCAAAATGACAAACAAGTGGATTTACAAAGGTTCATTGGCATATAAATTTCAGACAAGGCAGTGGAATTTACCAAAGCATCTAAGCAGATCGAGGAAACTGGATTTCAGTGGAAGTGAGGTACATTCTTGCAAATGTCATTGAAAATCTGTAAATTTAGCTTAGAAATGCTATTTTTAAATATGGCCTTAAGTGATGCAGGAACCTAGTTCAAAGAAATCTAAGTTCCTATATCAGGTAGGCACTTTGGAATTTTTTTTTACTCCCTGTGACAGTGGTCCAAGGAAGTACATTATGTTATTCTCACTGCCACAAAAGGATTCTGTAGACCTATTGCAATCTTCACAGTATTGTTTTTACATTCACCCCACTTCTACTCTCTGCTTTGTATTGGCAGAAGATCATACTGACTGCCGACAGTGGGCCAGAAGAGAAGGAGTTAATTGACAGAATTCTCCCTTTGGAAACCAACAATAACTTGGTCTCCAGCACAGAAAAAGCAGATAGTCCTGATCTGAGTCTGACTGATGTGACACAGAGCAATGGAAATGCCCCAGACTGCCCCATCGATTCTCGAGTGAGAGACCACACAAATAATCGAATTGGTGAGTCTTGCTTTTTTTTTTTCCCCTCTTGCCTTTTCGATTTTTCAACTATGGGCACATAATGTCATTCTGAGATTATTAGTAAGCTGCAAAGTGTCCAAAGCTTCTAACAAATATTGGGGCTGAATCTCTGGAACCCTTTCTTATTTTCACATTTGCCTTAGTCACTTATGAACTTGACAGAAGAATGCTTTGCTGCTCTTCCTGTTTTTCATTCCAGAAGATGTACATTTGCAGAAGAAATTTGAAATCCAAAATATGCCAGCTGGAAAATGATACTGTAATACTTAATGAGAGTTGTACTTCACATGGCTCAAGCTATCATTTTCTTCTCTTGGTTTCACAGTAGTAGCTTGGAATGCATCTCCCATATGTTCCCATATAGTCTTTGACCAGTGTAAGAGAGAAACTCAGGCAAGGAAGCTTACTCATAGCAGGACAATTGTTACCTGAGACACAGTCTACATGAGCCATTCCGGCAATGTTTCCAAATCCAATTTTGAGGTTATTTGAAAGGGTTTTTTTGGCACTACTAGAGCTGACCTTTCCTTACTAAATACCCTTTCCATTTTTTCTGAAAGTGATGGACTTGGGATCAATGTGATGATTTCACGTACCATACCCAAATATCTCCGAGCAATTGTGAACAATAACCTACAGTGTCTGATCTGCAGCACCCTTCTGAATAAAATGTAGTGGTCCAAGCCATAGCAAATGCCTTATTTACCTTTTGTAAAGGAGTAGGGTTGATAAATTGGATGCAAGGTTCCATCCCAGAAAAGTTTGTGGTTGATTCTCTGCTGGAAAGAAACTCATTTCTTTGCTGATCCTAAGACCCCAGATAATTACCCAGAATTTCTGTATAGTGCTGATCCTTGCCCAAAGGCTGCTTTTAGTGCAGGTATTGTTGCTTCTCGAATCAGCAGGAGCATAAACCTGGGATTCTCCATATCTATCTTCTCCAGATCCTGATTAATTGCTGCTTCTAACAGACTCTTGTGAATATCTTACTGCCTTTTCTAATTCGTCTTTCTCCTGTAGTCGTAGCTTTAGCACAGTAACTTCATCACATGGGAGCTAGATCTACTTGATCTAAAATGCCCAGAGTCCCCTTGACAGTGGTCCAAAACCAGACAGTGTAGTACAAAATGTGCAGGCTTTCTGTATCACTTAGTATCTTCAGTGCTTTGATTTCAAAATTAAAAGCACCTTATGAACAAACAATGAAATAGACAACTTATAATGTGTGAATTCCAAAAGCTTTCACAGGTTAGTGAATTCTGTGTTTTCACAGTGATGGGCTTGACCTGCATGCCTCTGATTTTTAAAAAAGAACGGGGGGGGGGGGGGGGGAGAAAG